TTGAGGAGGACAGTCGCATGATGCAATGCGGTAGTGGGGAGTGATGGATGTTGTTTGTTGAAAGTCACACGAACCATTATTGGTACATAGACAAACAATAATATCTAGGTACTTTTCCAATGTACTGTTTGTACCATACTGAATAGTTAATCTGTTGTAAAGAGAAACAGAAGTTTTACGTATATATTAAGCCGCACCATTCATGTGACACTATTGCTAGTGTGAGAAATACTTACAGAGCATGCACAAATTCAAGAGTGTTGTTGGGGATTAGCAGCGTGACGGTTGAATCAACGAAGGGAGTATTGTAGATGGATCCATTCGTGTAGACAGATACTGAAACATCAACCAACTTCGTTGCATTGATATTTATTGTTAACGTGAAATTGCGATTTGATTGATCGGCGGGCAACGTAATGGTAACTGGTGAAATAATATCGACAAATGGTACAGTTTCAGCTATTTTGAATAGATATGAGAAGTGTTCAAGTGTCTGTGTTAACGTCACGACTCACCCATTTCAAGTCGAAAGCTTTGTGTTGATTCTAGTGTTGAGGTAGATCCTTTGCTGGTGAACGAATTTACACGAATAAGATAATCATGAATACACTCAAACTTTCCTGAACATGTCTGATCGACAAGATTCTTGCTCATTGCCGAGCTAAGCGTTGTGAGAAACTCTGATGGGCTGTTGTTATACCACGCGACAAAATCTTGTGGCATCAAAGGTCTTTTATCATCTGATGTTGCGTCATCCGACACTTTCCCTAAAGCAAATAGATCTTTCGTGCAATTCAATTCCTTTCTGAAATTAACCTACAGGAACGGCAAGCATTCAGAATATCCGTGTCATTAGTCAATGACTCAGGATTTGATGAAGACGAGATGGAGACTGTTTGATTTGTTTGTCGATTCATTAAATCGTCACTAGGATCGCCATTAAAATTACCAGCTAAACCTTCTATGAATGTGCGGAATTTCTCCGGTAATATCAAGACACAATCCAGATTTTCGCTGAGTATATCACATTGCGCAGTCAAACCTACGATGAATATACGAGCGATTTTTCCTTCTTTCGATGAACGGATTCATGGATTAACAACTTACCAGACCAAAGCGAAACAGTTAGTTGAGGCACAGTTTCATTTCCAACTGCTTTAGGACTTTGCTTGATTCGATAATTATATTGATCAGTACCGCTGGCATTACCGGTAAAATCATAATTTAAGTCATTTGCCAAGTCAGTCGTAAGTACCAGTTGATTGTTGACAACACAACCTATCGTTTATTCATGTTCAACATGCACCTGTTAATACATCAGGAATAATCTTACCGAATTTCCCCTTCTCATTACTGATCGTGAAACTGCTGTTCCCACTTATTATCACATAGCTCCGAAACACAGATCCATATCCGTGTGTTCGCTCAATGTAGGACAGTGCCGGTGCTACCATCACCGATTGCACATGAATTCGAAACAGGTCGTCAGGATAAATCAGGTTCATGTCAAACACATTGCCTTCTGCATTGCTCTCTGCTCTCGCTCGTGCACCACTCGTCGTCTGAGCAAACACATACCAACCTTGAACGTGACATGTGTATCGACCACTGTCAATCGTGTCAACATGTGGATCACCAACACCGC